ATTCTCGTTATATTTTCCAACTTGATGTGAGTATTACATGGCACACGAGCAAAGACAATATAAACCAAATTACACCGTCTCAAAGTATCCACTCAATATTCAAAACCATTTTTTACTGGCGATTTAATAAACAGTAATTGTTTAGAAAAATGTGGTGCCTTCGTACTTAAATGATACGTTACATCAGTAGTCAGTCAATGGAAAATTTAAGAGACATAAGTTAATTAAATGTCATTTAAAAAGTCATCGATTAAAAAAAAATGGTGGCCTTAATTGCTTAGTTTGTAAATTATGGGTCTACACAAGTAAAAGGTGAGTGCGACACAATTTTTATGCAAAATAATTTTGCTATTTTCTTCATTGTATAATATGTAAATTGGAACAAGATATGTGAATATAGATGTTTTTAAAACAATTCTAATAAATGATCTAATTCATATTTGGTACTGATTTAATCCTGCTTAATTATATTATTGGTTCGCCCAGTCGAAAGCTCAGGTCGAAAGTCTAATATTTTTTATTGATAATACTAAAGCTCGTTAAGAAAAGTAAACAAAAAAACAGATAATTGGTTGAAAAACAGAGGAAAAAAAACTGTTTTGTCCTTGCCTATTTAGGTTTAAAAAGATAATCGATAGTTTAAATTATCGAAAAAAGTTCAAGTTAGCAAGTCTGTTGAAATACTAATAAATAAATAAACGAATAGTAGGTATTAAAGTGTATATATATAAATAATTCTTTTTTTTGTTGGGGGTGTGCCAGGGGTAGTTTAAGTATAAAAAACCCAAAAAAAATCAGCTGGAAAAGCGAAAAGTACAAAACTGTTTATTTTGATCTTGTGTATATATAATAGGTATATAGTCTATCTATTCCATACTAATCGTTAAAACGTATCTAGGGATAACCCGAGTGAAGCCAGGATGAGTAGCCAGTAGCTACATATCTATACAAATAAATAAAATTGAAGTGTCTGTTTGTAATGTCAAAATAACAGCGTTTTACTAAATGCATATGAAATTATATACGGTACTTATAAGATAAACACATTTTTTTAAAATTTTCCCTACTGTTCCGGATAATCTCTAAAATGGCTGGACTTATTTGGACGGGACTTCCACTGGAAGATAGCTGATGTTATAGGGAGTAACATAGACTACTTTTATTTTAGAAATAGAATTAGGGTTCTGCTCAAAAAATTTAAAACGTACCTAGGGACGAACCCGAGCAAAGCGAGGGTAAGTATAATAATAAACATAATAATCAAATTAATAACAAAAACAAAACATTTGCAAAAGAATTTTATAACTTAAAATTATTTTGTTATTCCTAAAGATACCTCCCAGCCGGAACAGCACTAATTCACTTCACAGATATTTAATAAAATAGTCATTTAAATCAGAATCAATTGCCTGTAACATGCTTAAAGAAATATCACACGAAAAGTATAATAATTAATCCTTCGAGACTTTATTAAGTTATTAATAAAATATTTCATAACGAAATTGAATAACGTCGAGTTCTATGTTGAAAATGCAATTTTGCTTCCGATCGAATAATTTGCTATTTCATTAGATTTATAGTATTTGAAATGAAAACGTTGTTCGTAATAACAGCTCAAGGAAATCATTATGTAGAATATATATACATACACATATATATATATATATATATATATATATATATATATATAAGTATATATATATATACATATATATATATATATTGACATAATTATGCAAATATGACTGCCTAACATTATAGATCAAATTATTTTCATTAGAACGCAGGAATTTGTAAACCAGCTCTTCAAGATTTATTGGAAATGTTTGATGTTGAGCCTTTGTCTTTATTATTCTCAAGATTTGTCTAGGTAAAGGAAATTTTAGACATTTTAGGTCTCAAGAATGCTAACAACGCTACTTTAAAATTGTGCAATCAAATAAATGAAAAGTTTGAGAGGATCATAGGTTGAGAGTGGCCCTTAGTCTATGACGTTTTTGACAAAATAGAGAAGGAAATTATGACACGTTTATGGTTATCTAAAATTGGTAAATCTAAATCCAGAATATTTGATTCTAACTTTTACTTGCCATGTTAAAGCTCTATAGTTACCTACAAGTGCTGTAACGGAAAACAAAGCAAATATTGCCTAGTTTACATACAAACTATAAGTGAAATATTATTATTATAGTGAAAAGTGATTATAATATTAAAAAATCTAGATTGAAGATACCTATTATTTTCAAAAATACTATCTCGTATTCTTTATATCAACATCTGTGAATAGGTATTTTAAGCTTATAAAATATTTACTTAGTATAAAACCTCATTCAAAACTACTCTGCAATAAGATATAAAATACGCAAAATTTCTCGCGTAATCTATAGACAATGTTTTTAGTAAGTTTATGAATTTGTATTAGGATTACTTCTAATTAAAGAAAGTATCACAAGCAAGTCGTGTTAGAATGATAGTTTACAAAACTATAAGCAGAGCTATTAAGTTATTTGATTATTAATTTCTTCTCCTGAAGGAAGCGCGCTGGCAGCTCCTTCGAGTAATTTTTTCCGGGGAAACTGTTACTCTGAAATTTATTTATAATAAAAAATCTTTACCACAGGACCGGACATTGAGTCAGGGGAGTTTCTAAGTCTACGTTAAAAATTTGATTTGTAATCGTTTAATTATTGAAGTGGCTAATTTACTGTAAAAAACCAGAAGAAAAAAAATTGAAAGCTTCGTGCAAATCTTAAAAGTTTCTATCTTCGTTGTGTTAGTTGACACTCTCTTTTATTACGCAGTAGGGAACTTTGGATTTTCGTATTTTTTTGTATAAAGATAATAATTGGTTAACAGAAGAATAAAAAATGCTTCTATATATCCTGTTAGATCATGGGATTCTCACGGGGATATTACTCCATTACAAACAAAAGACTAACTAGTAAGCAGCTACTAATTAAAAATAAGCCCATATTATTGTTTCACAATGTTTATTGTTATACTATTGAATATATTATTATGTATCATAATACCTGCTAAATGTTATTTTCTTATTTTTTACCTAATTACTTCATTTTCCCGCGTTTAAACAGATTTCAAAATTGATTTGTATAGATGTTTCGTAATAATATTGTCAACAAGACAATCATGCTAGAATTCTCTTTATTTTAAGTAAGTAATACTATCTACATAATTTATAAAAAAGAGCGCGTTTATCAATGTGAATGTTAATGACATTTAGAAATAAGTAAAATTTTCATTACCCACTTTTCCACCCTTAGGGTTGGTAGGTATTTTTTCTCAAATTTAAACGGGACCAAATTGGAAGTATAGGTAAACTTACTTTTAAACAAAACAAAAATTGTCCAAATCGGTTAATAAATGACGGATTCTGAGGTAACAAACATAAAAAATACGGTCGAATTAAGAACCTCCTCCTTTTTAAGTCGGTTGGAAATGCACAGGTTTAATTACATTAATTTATGTATAACTAACTACTTTTTTGATATGGTTTCGCTTTCATAATATGTATAAAATAGCCTATTTCCGCTCACATGATACAATTTTTCTTCTTGCCAAATGTCATCAAAATTTGTTCAGCGGCTTAAGCTTACAATGGTGACAAAAAGATGGATATGGAAAATAGCACGAACATGAAACTTAATGCGCCTATGTCAACAAATTAAGTTCAGTTTTCGATTTAAATTGGAGATCCTTTTGTATTTTCCCGTGATATAACGACCATATTGTTTTCACACGTGTTTCGTTTTTCAGAAAATACCTATAGCTGTTGATTTCAGAATAAAACGTCCAGAATGGTTTCTGTTTTTATTAAGAAAAAAATACTATCAAACTGAAACATACTCAATAAGATCTACTTTATTATTATTTTTTAATATATTTTAGCTTGGTGTCAACCATTCAGTAATTTCACAGATTATCTAGTGTGTATTTACAAATAAACAATTTTTAGGTCTTCCTTACATGGCTAGATACTAAATATTAGTTTTATAATAGTTTTATAAAAGCTAGTGCCTACATAATTTTTAATATTGAACGAAAGGAAAGTTTGTAAGGATGTATGGATATGGATGTCTGGATGTATAGATGTATGGATGTTACTCTTTCATGCTAAACCTACTGAATGGATTTTAGTGAAACTTTATTATAATATATTTAATACATCAGGATAACACATAAGCTACTTTTTATCCCAGAAAAATATCCTGTTTGTCTGGGAACACATTACGAGAAAACCACTGGACAGATTTTTATGAAAAATTTGTATGATGATAACTGGTTATCCGGGTCAACATAGGATACTTTTTACTGCGCGAAAACATCTCGTTTCTAAGAAATCTATACTAACTATTAAAACGTATCTAGGGACAAATCCGAGCGCAGCGAAGGTAAGTCGCTAGTATTAAAATAAGTGTGTAGTGGGACCTCATAAGTGTGAACGCTTACTAGTTTAGAAATGCATTTCAAATAATCTTATATGAAAAAAGGCACTCTGGAAATCTGCGTTTACTAAACAAGTTATAAAAGATGAATTATTTTTCTATTTCATCTCTGCTTAACAATTCAAATTAATCAAATTAAAGAACATTACAAGTGAATATTAATTTATTATTACAATTACATCGAATTAGCCCAAAAATAACTAGGTACATATCTATAAAAATGCGCTGTAATTATATAGCAAGAGCTTCCGCTTAAGTTATCATAGCGGTTATATTCTGTTAAAGTTAAATTCTTAGTCATAATTATTTAATTATGTATGTATGTATATTGTAGGTATGTGTCATAGCAAAAGAATATACTTATAATCTAAAATTCAAATTGTTACAATTTAGATAGATTATTATAGACATTGAATTCAAAAGCATGTCGTCTTCTGCGATTTTTTAACTTTTCGCATGATATACGTGAAAATTAAAAAGAGACTGCTAAAACTTTATTTTATAATAAAATCCATAAAAAATTATAGGATCAATCAGATGATCTACTGGTACGGCATTCTAGATTATGGTTACCTATGATGTTCTTTATCTTAATAAACACAAAATAAACAGTTGAGTGATCAATACATCAATATTACCGAGTATAGAAATCGGACCCAAGACCTGTAAAGTAGTAGTTTGTGTATCCTGACAGCTCGTCCAGTGGTTCTTAGACTTTGCAGCTGATCTTTTTTTATTAAATAAACACGATGTGATGGCCAATCTCATTGAGGCGAGCCAACTGTGAGCCACAGGTGCACTCTCTATTCCAGTCACTCTCATACTCCGGTGGGACGACTACTCGACACGACCGGTGATAGTAAAGGCGCAGGACCGACGGCTTTACGTGCTCTCCGAGGCACGGGGGTGAGACACCGCCAACTTCCCAACTTCGGGCTGTTACTGAGGCTTACTATACAGAAAGACTCAATAAATAAACTTGGCCCGACCCGGGACTCGAACCCAGGACCGCCAGGTGTGCAGCCGTACATGCTAGCCACTACACCACCGAGACAGTTAAATAAAAATAACATCCTCAAGACCGAGTTGTATAACGGCTATCTCTCTAAGAGTAGCCTACTGCGCAAGAGATCCACTCTATTCCTTTCACTCTTAAAGTCGGTGCGACGACAATTCTACACAACCGGTGAGATGTCAGGTACAGTACCAACGCTACACGCGCCCTCCGAAGCTCGGAGTGAAACGCTCCCCAACTTTACAATTCCTATCTGCTAGAGATAATTTCTTGACAAAACCCCCAATAACTTACTTGACCCGAACCGGAACTTGAATCCAAGGTCATTAACCTTTTTAGTATAAGGTATAGCTGAAAGAGCAGGACTGATAACAGTCAGGACTGTTTGTAGGCCTTCGAATTAAAACGAACTTGACTCCCCTCTCCCTCTCTTTATTAACCCCATTCATTCTTTTAATTTGCCCAAACTATGTGATCACTTTCTTCTCTATTATAAATATTACGAATTCACTAAGATGAAACTAAGATGATTTTTGTTATATCTCGATCGATAAATGTTTGAATTTCTGCTAATAGCAATTGAACACTTAACATTTAAAAATGCAAATTCGCTTAAAACACAAGAACGTTTAAACGTACACGTCTTCAACGCGGATAACGCTTGAAATATTCATAAGGGATAATTTAATTATAATAACATCTGGATTTAAATTATAATCCGCGACGTATCTCATGATGCAGTATAGCACGGTATAGCCAGTATACGCGTTATAAATTTCAAAACCGCGCCAACCGTGAATAAATACGCCATAATAGTGTTCCATCTTAATTACTAATTATAATACACTATTTTAGTGTTCACTTTTAATAATTATATTATTCCACGTTTAGGATGTTTAGTGATTATAAATTATTTTGGCTACTTGTTGTCGCTTGCGGTACAGAATTAGTTCTTTTATTTTTTTAATCAAAACATAATATCAAAGCTTTCTAGTTCTACTGAAGCTAAAGAACGAAAGCTTATGAGAATGGAGTAATACTTAAATTAAACATTATCAGAATTTTGTAACATTATTCGATATAAAAATTAAATAAGGTATGTTATAATTAACGTTAAAAAAGTTACAGCGTAGGCGACAGATCGTCTGGTATAGCAGTCCGTAGTAGTTGAATACTGTCTGACCGGTTTTTACTGCCACATTACAAAGTTGCACTCTATTTCTTTCACACTAATAAGCCGGTACACCCGGTAAGAGATCAGTATCGACGGTTTAACACCTGGCTGCTACTGAGAATTTCTTGACAGAAAAGCGTAGTAGTCATTTTTTGGCTCGACCCGGGATTCGAACCTAAAAGGTTCCGCAAAGCGGAATGATCAATGAGATTTACTTTCTATATATTCTCACACAATGATTTAAAAAAAGTGTATGTGTGTCAGCTCAGACGCACGATTTCCTTAAGATTATTTTTGAATATGTAATAGGCAAAGAGGGTAAATAAACGCATCTCATATAATACATTACTTATAGTACATGAATACATTGTTAGGAAGGTTTACTCCACTATTAATATCACTTTGAATATTAATTACATCAATACTCTCATTATTAATTACTGTGACATTTTAAAGTGAAAGGTGAGCAAGGTACGTCGCGCAAAAAAACATAACGCTTTGGAGTTAAAGCTAGTATTAATTCCACTTATAAAATTTCTATACCGTAGACCTTAAATAAAAATCGATTCTTAAGGAGTAAGCACCAAAAATAGTGTTCGTTTAAATATTATTCTCTAAATTTTAAAGGAACCACGTTATATTTACAAAATATGTATTTTATGAATCATGAGCCGTTATTTTTTTATTACCGATTGCATATATATATATATATATATATATATATATATATATATATATATATATACTAAAATGTTTTCGTACATTCGCCACATAACCCCGATCGATGCAATCGATTGACACGTGAGTATAATACATACAAACATAAAGTATGATATTGATTATGATAATTAACATTTATTAATCTGAAGCCAGCAATCCAATACTTGTTCATTAAAGTATCGGGTCCACATATGAATACAGGAAGTCTGAACTGACGATAAGAGTCATAAACACTTGTTACAAAAAACGTTAACTCAAGAACGTTCATTTTAGGCTTATTACAATAAAGCATCAATGTCCAAAAATGTATATCTATATAAATAAATTATTTTACATTAAAGCATGTTCTTTTTTGTTTTTTAAACTATTATATAATTTACTATCCATTTTTTAGTTTGATTTGCTATAAAAACGTGTTTTTAGTTATTAAAATTATTACTTATAATTTTTTTATAAATTAAATTATAATTATTTTTTTATAAATTATCTTATTATCATCAGCCCTTGATAGATTTGTTCGTTCCGTTACATTGATAGATAGATAAATACAGTTGAAGCTAATAAAAGCGTCTTAATAAAATTGATAGCTTTTTGGTACGTTTGTACTCTATACGTTATAAAGCTATAGTGATAGGCATGCACCCGAGCAAAGCGAGGTTACGTACGTACTAGTATTTAAAAAATATATCTTTACCTAAATAATAAACTTATTTATGGTTTTGCCTGCGCCTCCACTCACTAGTTACGATGATAAGTAATAGCCTACATCACTTTCTACACAACCCTTCTTCTATTTTCTATCTCCCGATTGATAACAGACACATTTTTTAACAGTTTCTTTGGCTTTAGATAACATGCAAAAAAGTATATATGAACTCTATGTGTAATAGCCTTTGAAATTATTGACTAATTTAATATTTATGTATAATTATTCACATGTTTTTTTAATATTTTTAAAAACACTGATGAAAAGATGAAAGCATCTATTATTATCTATGTCTATGAAAACCACCCCAAGCTTTAGTACCTACGTGTTGTCAAGAGGGACACAAAGATGGTGTATTATTTTGATTGAACAAGTAGTTCTCGAAATTAAGACTTATATAACTTGCTGGAAGCTCATCAAGTCTATTAAGATAAAGATGATGCGTAACACGATAATGGAAGAGGTACTCAATTTAGATACATGGGTGTTATACAACTGAGGTGGTCCCATACAAACATGTCAAAAGACTCGTACAGTGAATAAAATTACTTTTAAGTATGTAATTTGGATGTGCGTGTTCTTTTATATTTATTTATATAAAGTGAACTAAAAGAAGAGAACAAGTTGACGAAGGAACATAGTATTATGGAATCTCAGATATATGTCTCCGATTGCATAAATAATACTATGCTCTTTCGTCAACACGTTATCTTCTTTTTAGTTTACTTTTTACGCGGTTAAGTTTATTGTTTTTGTATTTTTTTTATTTAGAGCTTTTTAGTTTTTATGAAATAAACATTTTTATTTTTATTAGAATAAAAAATTGTAGACAATTTCTTATCGTACATTAGCTTTAAACATATAAATTGTATATATTTTTATAATCGCCTCTTAAAAACCTGTCTTGATAGCCCACTCGATTTATTCGGATAAAAATTTTATTTTCAAGACAAAGTGGCGCCATTTAGATTTTTAATGATGTCTATATACATTATAACACTCGTGTTATCAAGACGAATCGAATGACGTATGAATCATCGAAATCGGTTAAGCCATTTAGTAGTTACGAGGGAACATAGGCTCGGACATACATACATACTGGTCAAAAACATAACTCGCTTCGCTGCAGTCGGGTAATAACCTGGACAAATGGAGCGCTGGCTTCCGTTCAACAGGTGTCTGGCGACCTCTAGAATTCATTACATCTTAAGACAACATAGAACACTACAAGCGAAGACAGTAAAAATGGCATCAGCTATATTAACCTGTCAAGTACTTCGAACAAAGAAGTACAATAGATTTTATTAAATAATGATAAAGAAACACTGTAACTTTCTAAACGTATTCTTCTCAGTAGATTTTAATAATGTATAGGTACATAGTTTACTAAAATCCATCTAAGAAATACATACGAACAAACTAGGAGGCTTCTCGTAGGTCTGACCCTTGTGCGACTATCGTTTAAAATTTATATGATCGATATAGTCACTGAACTACAATTATAGGTACGGTGTTAGCAATTTGACAATTTTATGCTTGGGATTAAAAGATGGCTAATATAAAAGAAACATTAATTTTGTGTTATTTTGGTTATTTATATTACATTAGCGACTTGCCCTCGCTTTGCTCGCGCGTTATAAATAGACAAAAATAGTTATTGTGAGTGTACTTTAGGAGTTAGACACTAGATGCTATAGCGGACTTTTCTGTAAGATTTTTAAGGCCTAAATTTTCTAGTACATTGTTTTGATGAAATGCTATCCGTTTCGATGCGAGTAATAAATAATTTTAAATCTCTGATATCTTCTAAAATATTCATTTTAATGATATGAATGCTGTAAAGAAAAATTTTGATACACATTAAATGCACAACGTATCTACATAACACCTCCAGGCAAATTTCTAAGAAATTAATTAAAATTCTAAGAAATATATTGTTAACTGATACGCCGGCGTGTCCGCGGTCGTGGAGGGATTAATTCGTAATCTATTTAATTGGATAGGAATTACTACTACATTGTTTGAAATAGCTTGGTAAAACCTATATTTTTTAGTACAGTGTAAAAGATAAAAATTGTTACTACGGGTTATCTCTAGGAGATAGATATATACTATCGCGGACTTTTCTGTAGACCTTTTTAATGTATACAATTCCGTAGTACATTATTTCGATCTATCTCATAAGGTTTAACCAGCAAAAGCGCCCAAAAATATGTTTTTTACGAACACCATTACAAAACTTATAGTGCAAACCCTATCAAAATCAGTTGCGGTGTTTAAAAGGAGTTAGCGGAAAAGAAAAAAACAGATAGACAAAAACAGCGACTTAGCTTTTTACTATGTAAAGATAAATAATATTTACTGCTGAACCTCCCTCACTTCGCCTAAACTAGACTCCCTAATACTAGACATATTTTAAGACATATTTTTTTATTCTTTACGTACTATTGGTTCTATTATCGATAATAATATTGTACGCACATGCCATTTCTACAGCACTATTTTATATTAATTACGTCCCCATAACAATGGCTGTTTCTATTAAATAGAATAGTCAATGAAGGGCTGCATCGTCTATTAAAGCATTTAGTTGAAATAAAATGTTGCTGTATACGACAAAGTTGCGTGATAATTGTCTTGTTTATGATATTCAAAGC